TGACACTTCTTGGATTTCTCCAAACAACCAATATTGTTGACTCATGATTGTTCAACATGGACATCTCGTTGAATAAATTCAAATATTCATCATTTCGCTGTTACAATGTAAGCTTTTCAAACATATCGTGTGAAACAACAAATTGGTTTTCCCTACCTGAGTTCTCGTTCACTACACTTCTACTATTAATGCTACTACCATTGTTATTACTCCTAATACTCTGGAATTTTATCTGGTTGTGCTAATGTGGTCTGGAGACTTGAACTGGTACTAGTTCTAGGTTGCGTATGACTGACTGGATGGGTGAGTATTAAATGCTCATTAAACTTAGGTGTATTATTCAATCATCTGTTTGTTTTCAAAGTTTTAACAGTAATTTTACTTTCTAGTACACTCTCATACTTATGACTTACTTCAGAAATCAAATTTTTAATCTCACATTAATATCTCTAGAGTATTTATCCTCTTCCTGATAAATATGAGCAAATATAATAGATATCTTAAAGAGAGTAAGAACAAAGGTTGGTGCAGAATAATATGAATTCATTTTATTTCGTTAGGTTCTCATCAGCTGCTTACAACCTAAAATATTTGAAATTCAACGTTATTATAGATATTGACATACTTATACAACAGAGGGCGATGAAGGATGAATATATGTAACATAATGTGGTAAAGATTTCGTTAGAGTTAATGAGGTCATAAAATTTTTGTTTCGAATATATAGAGTTTGGGAGGGAAGGTTCCAGAAAATTGAAATAGTGATTAGAAATCATGGAATTAAAACACATTAGACGATTATGTAATGAGGTAACTGAAAATAGATTAATGTTAATAAAGAGAGATATGAATTGAAATTGGTCAGTTATGAGTGATGTAATTATAAAATTCAGAAAGAGTTGAAATGACGTAATAAAAATAAATAAAATAAAATAAAAGGGGGTGGGGTGAATGTTACCAGGGCAAAGAAAGATTTATTACTGTTTCTTTTTGTATACAAAGATCTGGTTTTAAACGTTTGATTGCTATTGCTTCCGCGAATTTCAAAAGGTTTGAATTTGATTGTTTGTTGATCACCCTGAAGGACTTCAGTATATCGACTTCGTGTCCTGTGTCAATGAGATGTCTTGCGACAGCGCTGCTAAATGCTTTTAGTCCGTTTGATCTCAAACTCTTCGGAATATGTTCTTTGAATCGGACGTAGGCTCTCCTTTCTGTTCTACCAATGTAACTGCTTTGGCAGATACATGTAAATTTGTATACACAGTTGGTGGTAACATGAAAGGGATACCTGTCGACCTTTGATTGTGTCAAAGAACATGTCGTTTTGGACAGGACAATCAATTTAGCTGCAGGATATGTTTTTGTCAGTGCAGTTTTTAGTCTCATATTGATCGATCCTGTGACATTATCGCCTTTGAATTGAAGTTGAATAAAAACAGGTTTTTTATTTACTGTAGTTTCTTTGGGTATTTTATCTTCACGTTTTCCATATTTCTCGATGAATTTCAATGGGTATCCGTTATTTCTTAAACACTTTTTAACATTCATAATTTCCTCTTCTATTGTATCTGCAGTGCATATTCTTTCTGTCCTATGAAACAGTGTTTTAACAAGCGCCTTTTTATAATTGATTGGACAAAAGCTGTTGAAATTGAGATAACTACCATTCCATGTGTCTTTCTTATAAACTGAGCGTTGAACTGTGCCATCCTTTCTTCGTTTTATCGCTATATCGAGGAAATGGAACATGTTTTCTTTTTCATGTTCCATAGTGAAATGAATATTTGGATGAGCTTCATTGAAAAACTTTAACAGATTTGTTGCATGTTGTTGATTATTACATAAGATGAATGTATCATCAACATACCTCGAATAATACATCATTCCATCAATCGCTCCTTTGAGCTTGGTTCTTTCGAGGTTAGCCATGAAAATGTCTGCTAGGACGGGGCCTAACGGACTTCCCATTGCTACACCATCGGTTTGTCGGTATATAGTATTGTTGAACTGGAACTGAACATCTTTTGTACACAAGAGTAATAGACGTTTGAATTCTATTGCTGGTAGAGGTAGGATATCAGGATGTTGACAAATTATGTCTATGGTTTCAAGAAGTGGTATTTTTGTAAACAATGATGTCACATCAAACGAAACCATAAACTAACCAGCAATATTCATGTGATTCATGCTATCAACGATTAGCCACTTATACACTGAAGGATTCATTTGTATTTGCTGATAGCATGAATCACATGAATATTGCTGGTAAGTTTATGGTTTCGTTTGATGTGACATCATTGTTTACAAAAATACCACTTCTTGAAACCATAGACATAATTTGTCAACATCCTGATATCCTACCTCTACCAGCAATAGAATTCAAACGTCTATTACTCTTGTGTACAAAAGATGTTCAGTTCCAGTTCAACAATACTATATACCGACAAACCGATGGTGTAGCAATGGGAAGTCCGTTAGGCCCCGTCCTAGCAGATATTTTCATGGCTAACCTCGAAAGAACCAAGCTCAAAGGAGCGATTGATGGATGGCACAGTTCAACGCTCAGTTTATAAGAAAGACACATGGAATGGTAGTTATCTCAATTTCAACAGCTTTTGTCCAATCAATTATAAAAAGGCGCTTGTTAAAACACTGTTTCATAGGACAGAAAGAATATGCACTGCAGATACAATAGAAGAGGAAATTATGAATGTTAAAAAGTGTTTAAGAAATAACGGATACCCATTGAAATTCATCGAGAAATATGGAAAACGTGAAGATAAAATACCCAAAGAAACTACAGTAAATAAAAAACCTGTTTTTATTCAACTTCAATTCAAAGGCGATAATGTCACAGGATCGATCAATATGAGACTAAAAACTGCACTGACAAAAACATATCCTGCAGCTAAATTGATTGTCCTGTCCAAAACGACATGTTCTTTGACACAATCAAAGGTCGACAGGTATCCCTTTCATGTTACCACCAACTGTGTATACAAATTTACATGTATCTGCCAAAGCAGTTACATTGGTAGAACAGAAAGGAGAGCCTACGTCCGATTCAAAGAACATATTCCGAAGAGTTTGAGATCAAACGGACTAAAAGCATTTAGCAGCGCTGTCGCAAGACATCTCATTGACACAGGACACGAAGTCGATATACTGAAGTCCTTCAGGGTGATCAACAAACAATCAAATTCAAACCTTTTGAAATTCGCGGAAGCAATAGCAATCAAACGTTTAAAACCAGATCTTTGTATACAAAAAGAAACAGTAATAAATCTTTCTTTGCCCTGGTAACATTCACCCCACCCCCTTTTATTTTATTTTATTTATTTTTATTACGTCATTTCAACTCTTTCTGAATTTTATAATTACATCACTCATAACTGACCAATTTCAATTCATATCTCTCTTTATTAACATTAATCTATTTTCAGTTACCTCATTACATAATCGTCTAATGTGTTTTAATTCCATGATTTCTAATCACTATTTCAATTTTCTGGAACCTTCCCTCCCAAACTCTATATATTCGAAACAAAAATTTTATGACCTCATTAACTCTAACGAAATCTTTACCACATTATGTTACATATATTCATCCTTCATCGCCCTCTGTTGTATAAGTATGTCAATATCTATAATAACGTTGAATTTCAAATATTTTAGGTTGTAAGCAGCTGATGAGAACCTAACGAAATAAAATGAATTCATATTATTCTGCACCAACCTTTGTTCTTACTCTCTTTAAAATAATAAAGGGAACTATGTGTATATAATAGATATCATTTTTCTTAAGGTCTTTGAATGCGTTACTTCGTACGAATTTATGATCTATGCACTACCATTGTTGTCTCTAAAATTATTGTAGAGATCAAGCTTTGATTCTATAATTGCTTTGTTTTTATCCCTCTATTTCTTAACTATAGATGGTAATTAACTGAGCGTGAGAAATGCCAATTTTATACATTACTTTTTTAATGTCCTCATGACCATTCAAATTACAAGCAATTAAAGTAGATCCGTCAGTGTTACAATAAACTTGAGGCAATAGAGGTAGAATAATGGATTTATCTTGTTTCTCAACAAGACCATATCGATAGCCGAAGTCTTACGCTTATTGATTTTTATCGCCATAATTGTTAATAATCCAGTTTAAATTTCTTTGTACTAATTTAACACCATGTTTAATTGAAAGATGTTAGTGTACAATGTGAACTATAATTGTAATCAACTTCCTCGTGATATTCATCGAGCACTCAAAGGCATCTCATTGATGCATCATTCTCAATGGTCATAATGGGTTCCTTGACTAATAGGATTCGATCAGTACTGAGAATTAGGTCATCATTATGATTATTATTTGATGAATAATTTATATTATATTATTACTAGTAGCACGATTTAGTTGCGTAGCAGTTTGAATCGATTTTCCAGTGTAGCTGTGGTGTGGTGGTTAAGATGTTCAACTTCCTACCACTAGGTTGCACTCTAGGGCTTTACTCCATCTACCTCGATTCAGACAGCTGGATAGTATCACTGTTCGTCGTATAAAAAGTGTGGTTCAAAGCTGAATATACGAATTTGTACATAATGAATGAGTTACATTATCAACGTGATTCTCAGAATGGCATTTTATTTAGGCAGTTAATTGTAATTTTGATGACCCTGGTTGGATTATCAGATTAACATATATAAACAGAATGTAAAATGTCAAACATCGCAAGTTGTATGTCAGTCAGTTGATGTCTCTACCAGACAAATCTGGATCGTGCGTACGCTTTCTTCTTTATCATTCAGTTTGTTAGATGTTTATTACAATCATGTGACCATATCGAATTATAACGTTAGTAGTAATTAGTTAAATTACTGTACCATAATAACAATGATTAATTTACGATATAATTATTGTTCTGCTGATCATTATGTAGTATTTCGAGTTAGTTTTATTGTGGTTATATTTTTATTTGTCTTTTTTCTTTAAAATCTAGCTTCATAAATGCTTTATCGCCAACAATTAGCTTGTATAATTTGGCACAACGGTTTCATTCTCAGTCACATTGTTTGAATTTAGCCTTGTGGTTAATTTATCGTGGTCATGCATTGATTGTTTATCCAATTGTCGCTAATAATATGTATATTCTTGCACCTCATTCTAAAGCATGGTTCACACCTCAATTAATTGGTCAATTTGCAACATCGTTTCCTGATGTCAACTTTGCTGAGGTAATTTAATTAGGATAATATTTACAATAATAATGTCTTATTTTTGGATTTTTGTTAATTAGGTATGTTTCTTTACATAATACTTTATTTCAAAATCTATAATTTCTGTGTTGATGTTTCAAGTCCTGTTATTTTTCCAGGAAAACTAAAACCATGCACGTCCAAGCACTGTATGAGATCATCTAAGCCTTTGATTGTAGCGGTTTATACATGCTTATCCAGATTTTCATATAAGAGGCCATAACTTTTAAAGTATAATATTTTTTACTGAATCAATAGTACCCAATACAACAAAAATCACACGACACTGAATTGCACTGCTTGTGCTAGAAAGTATTTATCAACCGTACGAAGTCTATCACTGAAATAGCTAAAAATGTTCAGTATGACCCGCAGAAGTTATCGGCTCAGTTCATGTAACGATGGTGAATTTATACTGCTAAATACTTGCAGAATAGAAAAAGCAACTGTTCAGTTCTCCCGGAATTTCAATAGTTCCTGACTAACACTTTTATATCAATGTTTATCTTTTTTGAATATCCCTCAATAATTCTATACATTTATTTGCTTAAGAAGCTTATAATGTAACGTTTATGTCTAGAAATTCACTTAATTAGCGATTGATCGAATATTACCTATTTACTAACTTCATTTAATTATAACTTGTAGCTTTTAACATCGTTTTCAACAAGTTTTATACTAAAAGATCATTTCGATTCATCCAATTCTATCGTTGACAACCTTCATTATGATGGGGATTCGGATGTTGTTCGTAATCGATCTTCGAAGACATCATGGACAAACTTACCCTTAACGGAAAAAATAAATCTGATTGCTTGGCTACTTCGACGTCGGCTCATAATACAAGTAAATATTAGATTATTAATTAATTGTTATGATTCAGCAAATCTCCGGATAATTAATCATTATATTATTCCTTCATTATTATTAAATATATTGTGAATTGGGCAATTACATGCTACAAAATAAACCGATACTTTATTGTATGCTTGACTTGGAATTATACCATTTATTTACAAATGTCCCATTCGTTAGGCGATTTACTTCAAATTCATGCTAAGTGACTATTAAGATTCCTACCTGGGAGAGGCCACACTTCGATGTTTTTTGTATGTTCTGTTCGGTTACAGTGTTGAGATTTAAACGCACATTGATGTTGTACTAACTCAATAGTCCTCAATTCAGTTATCGGCTAATTCCCTAACAAATATGTAAAACATGTTTCGTATGAAATGTAGGCAGTTTTTGTGTTGGATATGTTGATAATATATTTGTTACATGTGACAGAATGTCTCACTCATAACATATTCAGTGACTGGTATCCATTTGATTATTCAAGGAAGATATTGTTGACAAGATCCTAAATAACCCCGGTGTGTGCAAATCAGTTGATGAGGTAGTGATCACTTTATGATTACTTTTTTACCCTTGTTGTCCTTATACTTTCGAACTGGCCCAGTTATTTGACTATTTCACTTCATCGTGTTAACTACGGTTGAAGAGTTACGTATATGATGTGCATGAACGTATATTCAAGTTTAAGTATACATGAAGGAAACCTAACGATGTTCATACCTTTTTGTGTGATAAACCAATGCATAAACGAATATCTCGAATTTTTTCACCATGTCGGGATTACACCAGTCATTATAACCAAACAGACCAGTAATAATTTTGTTTCGATTCATATTTAAGTTCGTGGGCTCATATCTGGCAACCAACAGGTTTCGAAGTGCATCTATAACTCAAGAACCGTTAAATTGTTTCCGTTTAGAGTTAATCTTGTTAAATTTACTTTATTTTGCTTATTTAGATTCATCTCTACATATTCCCGACATTTTTATCCAATAAAAATGTAAGTGAAACGAATATGTTCAATGATATCAAGAATATTTCAAAACATTTTGAGAGTGTACATATGTCCAATAATAGTGTTAACAGTACAATACACAGTAGCAGTAATAGTAGCAGTGAATACGACAGTGATGAAACCACATCAGAAGTAAAAGGTAGTGATAATTTAGAGGTCAATTCCACTATTTTTAATCTTGATGAATTGTGTAAAAAAATACCAAAAGATGTCTTATGTGAATTAACCAATAATTTACCTGTTGAATCTCAACAAACATTACTTCTATCTATTTTGAGCCATCCTGGAGCAATACAAAATATCTCACTTCTTCGATTATTTGGACGAATTTTACCTCATCTTCCAGCTCACTTAGAAGAAATTATGTTTAAAGAACAAATAAAACGATCCACTCTAGTTGAATGCATTGAAAGATTTGCCCCATTCTTGGCCACAGCCAGACTTCCAGATCCTGTCACGTCTTGTTTTGCTGGAATACCATGGCCGAACTAGTATTACTCGTTTATTTATATTCAGTCTGTGTAAAAACAAAATTTGAAACGCATCACATTAAAATCTGAACTCAAAGTTTTCTTATTCGCCTTAATTCCATCGTTTGTTGTCAAAAATTTACAGCTAAGTTCTATGCAACAATTTTATTTGACCTCATCGTACAATTTTGTATCGAGTGTTTTCCTACGTTATAATCCACACTTGACGCAACAATAAAGACAAATCTCACAACCAAACTATCTTATCTGAAATTCATTAATTTCGGTTTACTAAAGTATGCTCGAAGAACATTATTGTTCTTGCAAAAGTTATATCCTTACACATCTTGTTCCATATGACCTGGTAACATAATTGTAATGAATATTAGTCTATTGTTTACTTGTGATATCTACTTTATAAACATATACATACAGTTTTAAAGTGTTTAGATGTACATCCACCTTTTTTATATTATCAAAGAATACTTTTAATATTTGTTTTGTTAAATCGTTTTCTATGTTTATACTTCGTATTCATAAATTTATTTAATTAGAAAACATTTATTCATTGGAATTTATGAAAACAGAATCATTTTATGGATGAAAGAAATTGCTTTGTAAAGAAAATACCTGGTCTGAATGATTTTCTTCATAGTCCATTAATATTGGTTTAAATCTTTAAAATGAAAGATTATACTTTGTTTTTGATGCTCTCATTGGATTCGATACAAGTAGTTGTCAAGTAATAAGTCTTAATGGTGATGGTTTTTTCCGGAGCTTTACTTTCTTCCTAATTACTCCAGTGTGTGAAAAAGTCCATGCTACTAATTTGTTTGCTAATTTAAAAAATTCTGTATTCGTAAATGTCATTTTACGAAGAGAATAATTACAATGGAAGAATTATTAAGTATACCTGGGCGTATTTAATGTATTCCATCTTTGGCTACGATATTTGCACTTAATGTAACTGACTTCATGCCACAGTTCGTGCATCGACGTTGCTACTAACACTTGATTGTCAAGGAAAACATAGTAACAGGCAAATCTTATGAAAAGCTCTTTTCTTAAAGTATTTGCTACTTGTTACTTGCTACTTGTTCTTATTTTTGGACAGTCTAGATGACCGAATTATCTCAAGGTAAGGAGCATAACTTCTGTGCATCATTCAATCCGTTTGTCTTATATACCTTTAGTTATTGGCTTCCATTGTTTTACGCTAAGTTATCTGTTTACTGTTCAAATCCAGAACTATTCCACTCAAAGCTCTTTAGTCGATTGTATTGAAAGTATTGAATATCAATTATTCTGCTCCTAATATTACACTATTGAGCAATCTATAAAACTAGTTGTGTTTAATTCATACAAGATTTAGTGATCAGGGTACAAGAATTAATTTTAATGAGGTAATTGACTCTGTAGTCACGTATAGATTGAGATAAGCATCGAATTCAAATACATTCAATCTTATTTCAGTAGAGAAGCAAGAGATTCTGTTGTTTGACGTTTTGAAATTATAGAACTGTGTGTTCTCCACTCTGATCTATTTAGAGATTCTTGAAACCCACATAAACTTAGCAACCAATTTTTCCCAACACAGGTAACTGGTAGTAAGATAAAAACTACCAAGTAGAGTAAAATGACGCTATTAAAGAGCAAAATTGCATTCTTTTACTCATCGTGATTTTTGTTCACTGTTACATCCGTTTCAATTCAGTGTGATGATTACTCAGTGTAGTATTTATTTTGTTTTTCCAGTGTGATATTTTATTGGGTATAACATTAATTTGTTTGAGTATCATGTAAGATACGATATTCTTGTATTACGTTGACGTGATCTATGCTTAACATGATAATGCCAAAATGATTTGTTATAACCCTGGGTACTTTTCATGTATGTGATTCCATCCTAATTAATAATCAAAATGAGTGTATTTCTGACTAGGGTTGTCATCGTGTTTTTGGGTTAATAAATCTTCACTTGTAACAGTGTTGATCGTCTTACTTCGCAGCGTGTGAATTTAAGTGATTCCTCGTTCTACAAGTATAAGTAATAAGCGATTCCGACATAAATTGGTGACTACTAGTCATAACATAAAGATTATTTTGAATTTCATGGTCTTATATTTCTTGTTTGTACAAGACCACTACTTGAAAAATTACCAAACTTTTAGCGTTAACTTCGGTATACCGTAATTTTAACGGAGGTTGTTCATTAAATGGAGCTTCAACGCACTCTAAATGCTCTTTCAAACACGTCAAATAAGTTCAGGAGGTTCAATGTGTATTATCTTATTATCAATAATATATATATATATATATATATATATATATATATATATATATATATATATATATATATATATATATATATATATATATAATAGTAGTTGCGCTAACTTATGCAAATCTATTTAAAATACTTGACAGTATATTTCTCTGCAAATTTATTATTCACGAAAGTTTAGGTATTAAAAGTGTTATTTTGATAGTCCGTCCCACATCATGATTTAAATTCTGTTGCATTATTTCACCATGTGACGTTGAATCGATTGGATTTGGTTGAAATAGTCATGCCCAACCATAACCACCTTGATGTGGTGGTCTGGCTTGCCAATTGTGATGAAGCACTCGGGCTCTACTAGATGGAACAATCGTTCCTCAAGGTTTTGCCATAATGAGAAGATTGGTTCGAAAGAGCGGTAAAACAAAGAGCAGCGAACCCAAGGTTCGAGGATGAAGTCGTACTGCTCACTGTAGAGAGGCGTGTGGAAGTAAGGTGCTTGCCTCAAACAACCAGTGTCTAAAGCGATGCCATCTTCTTCCAAAGGAAAGAGGGGATTAGAAAAGGTCAACTCAAAAAATGTTACATATGATCCTATGGATTTCTGTCTCCGGCGGTATCATCTGAAGTGAGGAGCTAACACATCAAAAGCCGTATATAATCGGTCACTCATTTGACATCACCTTGTCAGTATAAAAAACAAGGCTGTTTTAATATTTTTGTATCTGTGTACACCACTAAGTTCCAGAGAGAAATAGGCTTTCTAGAACTGGATTCTAATAGGCAGTCACTTGGGCGCTGTCCAGCTAAACGGAATAGCAAGATCTCCAGAAGGTTGAGACATATGCCATTGTCTTTTCGTTGTCTCTGCATACGCTCCCACTGAGCTTCAGCTTGGATGATAATAAATTTTATAGGAAGCTACCCAACCTCCGTCAAAAAGCGAAACTCTGATGTAGTGATAGTGGCAGATAATTTTGATTCCCAAGTAGGTAAACTAGACCAAACCGAAATGCACTTAGATTAATCTTGCAGTGTTGTGGCACACCAAATAGACAATCGTAACCGTCTGTCGCAATTATGCTCAGATAACCGTCTATTTCTAGCAAATACCAACTTTGAACATAAGAAGGCACATCGTCTGGTATGGTGAACCTCACGGTCTACTCATCGATGTACTCGAATAGATCACATTGTCACTAGTCATCGTTGGAAGGCTCGATGGATGACTGTCGGTCATCCTAGAGCACATGTTTAGAATCTGGCTGTGGTGTAGTTCCAGCACATATTTGACTTTATCTCATTGGACGTAGGTAACGCCAGACATCTGTCCAGAATGATCTAGGAAACGAGTTAAGAATCCGTCAGGTTGTGAAACTGTCTAGGAAAATGGCGACAATATTATTCACATCCAATCTGGGAGATTGGGATGATGTAGTGAACACTTTAGGAAACCGTTCAACTGATCCTCAACCACATATTAGTTACCCAAACAACCTGAATGTCGATCCGATGTAAGTCCTTTAAATTTTAGTGAGGTTGAAAAGGTTGTGGGTAAACTAGAGCGATGGACCAAACTCTGAGGTTTTTGAGTATAGTGGTCCAGTTTTAGCAGTTCACTTAAGTGAAGTACTAGCAAAAATCAGGCAACCGAACGTAATTGCATCTGATTCTTCTTGATCGCTGATCGTCGCATTTTATAGGCAAGACAAAAGTCCTCTTACGACAATTACCAGGAGATTAGTTAGGTTAATATAGCGTAAGTAATACTGGTTTCACACCTGAATTCGATGTGTATGAATAATTCCACTTTCAGTATTGGGAGTTGTGGAGATTGTAGTATTTTAAAAGTTAAATTCACCAGTCGATCTATGCTAGACCATCATTGATAACCTGAAAGCGCCGTGTGGCTTTCTTGTCCTAGGATGGGGTTCGTCACGTTCTCACTAGTGACTAGCTTGAAGATGGATTTCCTGGAGTCCTAGTGAGAAGCCGTGATCAGTGCGTATAATCCGCTCAGATGTGAGACAATTTTTCACATCAGACAATGAACGGTTGCACATTATCATTGCTGGATGCCCGCTCTGTGGTCTGAAGATTAATCGTTCGCACGCGAGATTTTAGGTCTTGGGTTCAAATCCCGTATCCGGGATCGTGGATGCGCATTGCTGAAGAGTCACACACTAAAACAAAACTGCTGTCCGCTTCCTCTAGGTGTTCTATCTCAGAATGGCTCGTAAATTCAACTGCGAAAGTATTTCGTGATGTTTAAATGAACTAATGATTTCTTTGTACTTGTTGAATGCTTGATTTCGAATTCTAAATACAGTACATTCGTTTGTGGTTATCTAGTACTTCTTGATCCTCTTACGTTATTTGTTGGATTCTTAGTTCATACTATAATTCAACTACTTATAAATATCATATATTTCCTTGTAATTTCGTTGTATGTACGCTTTGTTCTTCCTTCGTCCGTAATTTTGTACGTTTGTCCCTCTTTTTCGTCTTCATTGAATTATTGATACTATATTTTTCGAAGATTCCGGCTTTTTACAATCCCCTAGATTTTGTTGAGTATCTTAATAACCTTTTTATTTGTGCGTTGTTTGACATCGTCTTTTAGTTGTCGCCATATTAATTTACTATAATTTGGTTACTGTTGTTTTGTTTATAATAATGACAATCGAACACGTTCGCCGTTGGTTTTGAGAACGCTTATTTTCAATAACCGGTTATCAATTTCATTTCTTATATTGTGACAACTCTACAGTTGGTTGCTCATCTTCGGATTAGACCGAATTAGTTTATCCTTTTTCTTTGGGTATATAGTTCTGTGACTGATAACAATACTTCTCTCATTTCGGTAATTAGTTTCCATCAAGTGTTCGCATCCGCTGAAAAATGTATTATACATGGAAAGTCACCTTCAATTTTGTTTATCTTTCTTATAACAGTAAATATTTGATACCTACTTGAAGGTGTGTCCCTTCATTATCAAAACGTTATTGGCTATCATGGTCTTTCGATTTATTTGAACTCGGTAGAGTGTAAAATAGAGAATATAAACGGCGCTGGCAATCTGGAGTCCATTTAATTCTGAAATTAACATTAATATTTAGGTTGTTGATATGGTATTTAAAAAATTACATACTTAATTGTGATCATTTAGTACACTCAGAAATCACACTTTACTGTTCTTGGTGGACAACTGACCGACACGGATGAACTATTCTGTTCACAGCTTCTCACAATAATTCGTGGTATCATTTTTCAAAAGAAATCACTACTTGGCACATAATAATTATTGATAAGGAGGCCTATAAAGACTCTGGAACGTTGTTAGGATCACAGAGGAGCAAACGTTAAACAACTATTGAAAACTAAGGTAAAACTAGGCTACTATTTAGTCCTGTTACTTGATGATAAGGAAGATGGTTGCTTAGCAGTCGCAATGATATGCGACAACCTAAATAGTAAACTTCTATCTATGTTTATACTGATGCTCTGCCGGTTGTAGGTCTAAGAAATCGACCATCGGCCTTATATGAAATTCCTCTCGAAATTTTGAATAAGGAATTCTGAACCCTGGAAACAGTCTGTGTTGTTCCTAACGACGCCTATCAGACACCTGGGATGTCAACTGCATTCTAGATTATTTCATTGCAAAAAACGATTGTGCATTTCCAGACATACATAGGACTTCATGTAAATTTCTAGTAACAGTTTCAATTCTTAACTTACCAAGGCATTCTAAACGCCTACTTATAGTTTAGGTGGTCTCTGAAATCTTTTTAATTGTCACTAAAACGTTTTAACTGGGTTTTAAATATTAAAGACCTTGATAGAAAAACCATACAAGCCGTACTAGCGCTACTCGTTGAGGTAACTCTGTTCAGTTAGTGTTTATGGCTTTTATTATTACAACCGTGTCCAGCTATTAAAGCCTTTTTATTTATATATTAGTTTTTTAGATTTTATAGGGTCTTGAGTAGGCTTCGTATTTTAGTAAATTATCTAGTTTGCTTGTAATGGGATTACTGCGTAGGA